CACTGTCAAAACACAAGATGTTGTAATGTAATAAAGAATAATAATCATTTTTAATTACCTTGGTTGGTGATTGGCTACAAGCCAAAAAAACGTTATGACATAATAAAGTGGCCAAAATCTGATCAGCTCATTTTCAAAGAGGACAAAAAGTGAGAGAATTTTTTTTCCTGAAACTTTCAGAATCTCTTTAGAGGAGACACATGTTTAGATATAAAAGACATGAAAAAGTTGATTTTGCATAATAGGTCCCCTTTAAAGAAAACTTGCATATCATATACACAGATCACGATGCATGAAGCCAGCCAGCTTCTTTGTTTTCTGAAGATCTGTTTGTCTTATTTGACTCTGAGGCTCCGTCCAGAGGGAGGTTACTAATACTGACGGTGGAAAAACCGGAGAGCTTGGGCTCGAAGATCGCCATCTGCAGGACTGACCCTTCAGGTACACACATACACACTCCTGTAAGGCTTATACACATGCAGCCATAGGATGTTTTTCACACAATATTAAGAAACAAAGGCAGCCATATGTAAATGATCCATTCTGGTGTATTCAGTGCACCAACACATCACTGGAACAGACTTTCCATTGAATATACTGCAGAGAGAATAATGTAGGACAACACAGAAGAAACACTTAACTTCTAATGTTGTTTTTTTATTTTCAGAGGAATTAAAAAAACGTTGGCTTATTTATAGGTTTGGTTAAGCATCAGATTCAGGGCCATGATATGAACTAACACATCCTCAGCAGCAGAGGGCAGTCTTTCTGTATTTCAGACCTTTCCTGCTTTTACTGTAAGTGTTATTTTCCTCTCAATAATGTCCTGTAAATGTGTGATGGTGAATTGCCTACTTACATATCCCCCCCCAGACTTAGACACAATTCTTAACTATGACACACATTACTTTACGGACTGTCGTGACTTTAGGAAGTCGCAGACACTGCATTTTTCACTGAGTTTATATGTTAGTCATTCTTTTTTCTTCGCAGTAAAATTGTTGCCGGAAACCAAAGAAGATATTTTTAAGTAGAAGCGCAATATGCTTTGCAGTTTCTGTAAAACCAAACACAATTGTACCTAAAGTTACATTTTCCTTCAGTTACTCTTCTACCACTTATGTTTCTCTTTGCTCTCTTTTTCGTTTTAAATAGCAGGGTTTAGTCAGTTACATAACTATAGTTTAACTTATTAAATGAAAATGAAAAGGATTTAATAACATTCATGATGATCCTTATTTGCAGAACACCTTTCAAATGGACAGGTTAAACCAATTCCATAGTTATAAGAATCAAGTAAAAAAACGTTTTAAATAAAATTATGCATAAAGAAATTATTTGAAAGATTATACTGACTCTGTTTCAAAGCCAGCGGCCTGGAACAGATAAAAGATGTGTGTCCGAGTATCTCAAGCTTCCATCATTTTAGAAGGTCAGTCGGAAAGGTAAGGCTACTCAGAGCCTTAAAAGTAATCAATACGACCATAAATGATTTCTTAAGACAAACTGAAAGCTATCATGCCAAGCTACATTTGAATTAAACATAGATTTTGCGGGAAGATGCCTTAAAGTCTGACGGCTTAGGGCTGTCCCACAGTTAAATCATCAAGGGCCTGAGGGCTCTTTTGACGACATCTTTAGCCATTTAGGCCAATTTCAAATATGTTCACATTTCTGCAGACTGTGCCTGAGAATCACACCCAATTCATAGACTTAAAGGACACCAGGTGAAAAACAAAGAAAAAGGCTCATGGGTGATCAGTCTGGCGTGTTGAATCTACACAGGAACCTGACATTAGCTGTTTTAAAAAAAAATGTATTATATAAGGTTAAGAGATACAGATTTAACATGATTCAGAATGTTTTGTTTGGATAACTTGCACAATCTTGTTTGACAAGGTGGGGGTCGACTTTCACAAAGACCTTGAAGTGTTGCTTCTCGTCAGTGATAATTATATCCAGTAATATTGCGTAAGGGATTGGGCTTTTGGAATAGTTTATGGTATCTTGTAAGCTGAGTGAAACCCCCCCCCCATTCCTGTACTTTGTACCTACCTCATAAACATTATTGGAGACAACTTCCAGTGTACTGTAGCATGGGTGAATCATATTTTTCCATAGGACAAAGTGCTCTTATTGTTTTAGGTAAAAACCTGAATTTGGACTTCCTCTAACAAGCGACCGGGTCACGTTACTAATCAATATGTCGAGTATGCAATATACAAGGTGACCAGCCGGAAGTTTCTCTCAAACACCAACTGGTCAGCGGTTGTAAAATCAAGGTCCACAGTAAAAGAGGTTTTCACTTTTGACGTTTCACTTCAAAACATAATGGATTAACAATGATTGATTGCGAATATGACTAAATACAGACGGCAACATTTAAAAATTTAAGTATTGTCTCTAGTTAATCTTGCCCATGTTTGGTAACTTGTTCAATTATAAATGAACCTTTTCTTTGAGTTTACGTTCAAATGATTTGCATTAAAAGTCCCCCATTTTTTTTCTGTTCTTTTAGTCACTTTTATATAATTTCTTGACCTTTTGATATGCTAACTATATACTAAAGGGTCCTGTTTCCTTTTTAGACCGATCCTCTTCTAGAAACCTAAAAGATTATTTACAAACTGGTTCTGCTTCACGCATGCAGGTAAAGGCAGAAAAAAAGTACAATCTAACATGCACTGTAAACTTTAGTGTTCACAAAACATCCTAAACTACCACTTTGTATTATTTAGATGAATTACAGTCAAGAGGGCACTGCAAATTATTTGTTTTCTTTAATCACCTAAAGCAGCGTTATTCAATTGGCGGCCCGCGGGCCAAATCCGGCCCCGGGGTGATATTTACTGGCCCTTTGAGTATAATGTTAAAAAGTAATCTACTTTTTTTTTGAAGATTTTTTTTGGGGCCAGAGTGCCTTTATTCCATAGAGGGTGTTAAATTGAGAGATAGAGGGGAAGACATTGCCTGAAAACTTTAGCGGGCTCAGGTTTCGAACCCACCTACTAGCTACTGTAGTGACGACTCCTGTCATTGATTGCATCTCTGCGTGAATGATTAGTTAATTTCACCTACCGGTAAATTAAATCAAATTAAATTATGTTGATGGTTAAATTAGCTTCACATGTAGGCCTACTGAGTTCTGAACTTGCCATTTAGATCTATAAAGGCCTTGGGGCTATGTTGTTTGATTGAATTAAACACAATATATGCACTCCACTACGCTGTTGTAGTATATCCTGCATCTGAAGCTCTTAATATGATTGCTCATATTTCAAGCCATCTTTTTCCCGGCCCCTTGCTTTGGATCATTTTCATCAACCGGCCCCCATTCCAAACTAATTGAATAGCCCTGACCTAAAGTATTGAAATACAGTTCAGATGAACACAAATCTTCACACAGCACTTAGTTCCTGTTCACCCCTTCTAATAAATCAAACACAGGGTGGGTTATTAATCAATAACAGCACTGAGCTGAGAGCTAATTGTGCCAGTCTTTATCTCATAATGTAAATAGTTTAATAGTCAGGGCTTGTCTTGTGTTTTCACTTTTGTGTCCATCTGTGTTTTATTTTTCTCTTTTAAGTCGATGTGTAGAGTTTGCCCTTTGGTCAGACGGTTGCTAAGAACCAAGTCTACTTCCTGCAGATGATATTAGATATGGAGTAATATATACACATATATAAAAGCTTTTCATCAGGCTCAGCAACAAAGGAAATCTTTATCCTTCATCTAGGAAAAATATATTCTAATATAAGCAATATTACGTTTTTATCTCTGCTCCTTTCTCCAGGGCTTTTTTGGCACTAAGAACTGGCATTGTGCCGTATGAAGCAGCAGAGATGCTTTTTGTCTTTTCTTGTTCCTTGTGTTGTTCTTGCCAATGTTTCAAGAGACTCAATAAATTACCAATATGAAATCCTGGAAGATCAGCGCCTTTGAATGTGGACTTTGTGAAGGGTGCACCCAACCAAACAAAAACACGATCTTGCATTTACACAAGTCAGTTTATTGCAGCCTTTAATTAGATTTTACTGTGGCTTGGAATAATTAAGGTGGATGTTTTTTGGTCATGCTCTTGACAGAGAAGCTGTGTTTTTTGTTTTTCAGAGATAGACTCCCAGCTTGCCCCAATTACATCACCCAACACAACCAAAAACCTTCAGCAGCTCAAAGGTAACGATAAGTATTATGTCCAACTTCTCTCAAATGTTTATGTTGTTAGTTTTGTCTCATTTTCCCTAGTTTCTGTTAAATTGTCAGGTCCTCGGTTTTAAGTCAACTGTTAAAGGTAGGGTAGGTAAGAATGGAGAAACCAGCTCGAGTGGGCTATAATTTGAAAGTATGCAGCCAAATCTGCCCCTTCCTTCAGACTTCCTTACAGAGCCCCTCCTCCAACACACACGAACGCGCACATGGAAGGCTGACAGGCAGGTAGGCCATCCAGTTATTTTAGCCGGGCCGGCTCAGATAATTGGTAGTGCTTTTTACAGCTCCATGGCTTCCACAGATGAATCTTTGTATATATTTATTGTCAAAGCATTTAATGTTTTCATTGCTATCGGGATGTTAAGAGGATTCCATGGAATATAACAACAAGTGTTTCTGAAGTGAATTACCTACCCCACCTTTAAGTTGAATCTGATTTGTTTCAAAATACAAATGAACAGTGTCACGAAAGAGGCTTTAGAGAGAGAAACAACAGCCCCGTAGTCAGCTGGTATAAAGCACCTCAGTATAAAACATCATAAAAGCGGCCCATAAAATAAAAACCACCACATCAATAAAGATGGATAATTAAAGATCATCCAGCTACTATACTAGACCCCGCCTCATCACACAGCTGTTTGTTTATCTGGAATTTGATTTACACTGAGTGGTATTTTTCCACAAAGAAGATGTACGGTAACCTGGAAGATCAATTCTATGTAAATAATACACAGAAATATTGTCGGCCATCACATGAACAATTTGAATCTGATGTAGTTTGTACATAATAGAGATTTAATGTTTTTTACAATACACAAAGTAAATAATTGTATCATTAAATATTTCCAGTTTTGTTGTGAGAAGTACGTTTTCAGGTCGGTTCCTGATGAATGTTAATACTTAAAATCAATATATTACAGGTTTGAATGACATTATTTCAGCTCTCCAGTGAATTTAGATACAAATTCCACAAAAGCAGTGACGATGATCATGATGTCCCTTTTTGCTGGTACTTCTGCATCTTTCTTTAAGGTGTCTAGCTCTTCTGTTCCCGTGTTTCAACCTCAAAGCTGTCATTGCAGTAGGGGTTTAGTTCACCTCGAGCAGAGGACTTCTTAATTCTGCAGCAGATTAGTTTGTAGAGAGCCACCACCGGGATGGAAATCACAGGCAGAACACACAGGAGGATGATTATGGCAAACACCCAGTCTGGATATTTCAACAGTTTAGTTAGTGGGAATAGTTCCTGAAGAGAAAGAGAAGAAGTACAATTACTAATCATTAATTGGACATTTTGTCAAACTTGCCTATTCTCTTTTTGAATTCTTAAAATCACTTTGCTCAACTAAGAAATGCTTCTAGCTCCTCTTAAAACTACATCTAATTTGAACTTTTTGTTATTTGATTACAGCAGCTTTTAAAATGAACTGATACATTGCTGTTTTAAGGAATTTTAACTTCAGCACCATACATCCAGTATATATATTCTTATATAATGTATTCAACATCTCCATGTGAGTACCCTCGGCTTGCTTACATAGTCTGGGTCCCATGAGGGATATGAGGGGCGCGTCTGTGCCTGGATGGCCACGTAGGCAACAAACACCACCAGGAGCATCAACGGACTGATCACCATCCAGCAGGCCTTCCAGAAGATGTTGGGCCTCTTCCCCGTCATAAAATAGATGTCTTCACTGAACCTGTCAGAAGAAATGTGGGGAAGCAGATAAGGTTTCACGCCATCTCGAGAATTACAGCGTAACACTACTGAGTATCAAAGAAGAGGATCAAAAGTTACGTTTTCATTCCACGACCATAAGCGACAGCAGTGATCTCAAAGAACGCGATTACGAGGAGAGGTACGGAGCCCACGTAGCCGTTAAATACCTCCACCCAGTAGTTCCCCGAACCCAGGGTGAAGATGAGAGCCGTCAAGAAGGCTAGCAAGCAGATGATTGCTAAGGAAGTGAGAAAATAGTTTTCAGAAAGAAAATTTAAAGGGTAAAAGCTGTTTCCCTTTTACTTTGCTGCAACCTAATCTGATTAGTAGAGTTAGTCTATATACACTGAACAAAAATATAAATGCAACACTTTTGTTTTTGCTCCCATTTTTCATGAGATGAACTCAAAGATCTAAAACATTTTCTATATACACAAAATAACCATTTCTCTCAAATATTGTTCACAAATCTGAAAAAATCTGTGATAGTGAGCACTTCTCCTTTGCCGAGATAATCCATCCCACCTCACAGGTGTGGCATATCAAGATGCTGATTAGACAGCATGATTGTTGCAGAGGTGTGCCTTAGGCTGGCCACAATAAAAGGCCACTCTGAATCATGCTGTCTAATCAGCATCTTGATATGCCACACCTGTGAGGTGGGATGNCTGCATGCCTACAGACTGACTAACGTCTTACCTACTCAACAAAGAGAGGGTCGATTGGTGGATGAATGTCTCGCACACACACACACACACACACACACACACACACACACACACACACACACACACACACACACACACACACACACACACACACACACTAGGGCTGCTCGATTATGGCAAAAACCATAATCACGATTATATTTGGTCAATAATTGATATCACGATTATTAAATAATTTGAACAGTATCTTTTTAACTGTTGATTACCCTGAATGTATAATTCAACTCAAAGACTACAAAAATAAATTAAATAACTTACATATTTAAATAAATAATATCAAAATAATAAATACCAATAAACAAGATCAACAAATGTTTTGGAGCGCACTTCCACAAGCTACTAAACATAAATAAATATGATAAATAAAAATAAATGAGACTAAAATGAATTAGATCAAATGTGTTGTAGTGCACTGTCACAACCTAGCAAAGCTAAATAATAGTTTTTTTCGATTATGTTGTTTTTGTAATTGTGGCAGGCCAAAATCGTAATTTCGATTTAAAATATGATTAATTGCACAGCCCTAACACGCACACAGAGACACACACACTTTTTGGCACAGTTCTGTGCTGTTATGCTGTTATGTTCAGTCATTGTTCTTATGTTGAACATGAATGAATTTACTTTGTAAGTAATTATGGGACGTATTTCTTCTTTCATAGCAATTTTCCTTCATACTTTCTTGCCGTGTAATAGGTCTTGAATTCTATTCAAAGTGGTCTTAAAAAGGTCTTAAAAAGTCTTAAATTTGAGTTGGCGAAACCTGCAGGAACCCTGAACATTGTTCTACACCCTTGGATGACCCAGACATGTCTGAGTCCAGATTCAAAGATATTAACCAGTATGGTCATTTTAGTTACCTAAACACTGACTCTGCTCAATTTAAAGTCTATATTCAGTTTTAGGTCCCATACTCATTTTCAGAATGAATTTTTTTCCACTAAGGTGAAGAAGGACAGAAAAACATTGTGCTTATTTATTTTTTCACTACAACAGGTTGTACCACTGTCCAGTTTGCTCCCTCTTTCTACAACGTTCTTCCCAAACTGTCCAAATCTCCTGCTGAGGCCAAAACCACTGAAAAGACCCCTCAAAGTGAACCGGCTCAATCCACAGCTGCTGCCTATCCCAATTCAAGTGCCTCCTTTGTTACAACCCCTAAACATACAGGTACAAATCACTGTAAAAAACTCATCCAGATATGAATGTTTGATTTCAATATGTACAAATTGTTTAGGGTTATTTATAGGGAAAATATACTATGGTTTAGAACAAAATGAAGTAAAGAAACTTAAAAAGTGTGAGTATTCTGTTAGCAAGAGAGGGGGGGGCGGGGTTGTGGGGTGTTATAGAGCGTTTAGACATTATTTAATTCAAAGAACTATCACAAAATCTTTACCCCCCCTGAAATTGTTTCCACAGCCCAGAAGAAGAGAAGGCGGAAAAGTCGCTGGTCCTCCGGCTTTATAGCAAAGAGAAGATCGTCCTGCTCTCCTCACACATCCAGAGACGATGCACACTTAGAGTCTGAGGAGGAAGATGGAGACGACGATGAGGAGGAGGAGGAGGTTGAGAAGAGAGGAGCAGCTGAGTGTGAGAAAATGACTGAAGGAGACGAGAATCCCATGATGGTGGATGGAGAGTCAGGGCCTGCACCAGCCCAGGAAGGTAGTTTAGAGCCTACTGAGAATGAGCAGGACAGTCAGCAGGGAAGGGAGGAGAAGAGTCCGGCTGCTGAGGATAAGGTTATCCTGTGTGGATCAGGGAAACCAGAAGATGACGACCAGATTGAAAAAGAAAGTGTGGATAAAGATCAATCAGGACAGTCTGAGGAAATCAAAGTCTTAAAGGGAGAAAATCAGACCAGTGAAAGCATTATAGTCGACACTAACAAGGACAGCCACACTGTGACAGAAGGAGATACCCAGGGGCCATCCAACACAGAGGAGGGGGCTGAAACTAAAGGCCAAGAGCTAACCGAAACAAGGACTGAAAAATGTCGAGCTGTAACACAGACAGACGACAGTAACAAGGTAGTTACTGTAGTGGAGGCAGAGCAGAACAGCCCGGCTGAACCAATGGAGGAAGCAGCAAATACCTCAACCACAGACGTCTCTGCAGCTCACAGAGGAGAGGAGGACACAGACAAAGGTTTGATACTACACTTAAAGCTCAGCTCTTCAACTTCAGGCTTTAAGAATATACTAAAAGACATGCTTATCAGAAGTTTGTGTAGTGTTTCTAGAGACTATAGTAAGTGCAAGTTCAGTGTTTTAGCTTGATTGTGTCAGCAGATTGCCATTTATTATATTGTTTGTATGTTTTTTAGAACGGAGCGTAAGGCCTGTAACACCGGCTCTTAAGAACGCTGTGCTGCAGCAGCAGCAGAAAGTCGATGTGAACAAAGCCCTGCAGATCCTTGAACAGGAAACTCCTCCTTTGGTGGTGGACAGAGACGGATTAAAGGTGTGTGAGATATTGCAGCTGGCAGAATATTTTTGTCTTCAGTCTTTTTATAGTTTCTGGTCAGACAGGTTTTTTGCATCATGACTTAACAGGCAACCTTAGAAACAGATGATGAAATAAAGCTAACTTTCCCTTATCCTGTACTCTTCTGCCTTTTTTCCATAGAAGTTTGTCAACTAAAATGTAATCTGCATTTCATTCCCTTTTCTTTTGCCTTTTCCACTCATTTCTTCAGGAGCTGTTGGAGAGAGTAGTGACCAAGACTGAAAGCTACGAGGTCTACAAGCTGGAGAAACTCTATGCTCTGCTCTGCCAAAGCATCTACAGACACAGACGCGACTACAACAAAACGTTACTAATACAGGTTAGTTTTGAACCATACTGATAACGAATACTGTGATACTGACACTGATTTTGGTCTGTCATAGCAAACAAAGTGCATTAAAGGCGGCTTTTGATAGTTTTGTATGTTTTTAAATGGCTATCTAAGACTAGTGCAAACTCATTTACTTGTGCCCTTAAGATCAAATTTGACCACTGTAATTTATCATGCAAATGCATTTTTATTTTTCTTGCCTCACGTACTTTTAATGGTTCTAATATTTTTCTAATCCTGCTTTCTCATTTTGAACAGGAGTTGGAACGAGAGATTGCAGGCTTCTGTTGACTTCTCTACAGGAAGAATACGACCTCTTTATTTAAATAATCACACACATCACCCTCTTAGCTATGTAAATATACATAGGTTCTATTTTCATAGAATTATGCAAGCACTTATATTTGTGCATTAGCTTGGTACTACGTTTTTTAAATATTTTATTTAATGTTTTCTCCAGATGTTGTAGTTTGTCTTTTTACTTATTGTCCCCAAATCCTAATCCACCTGGCCATTATGGTGTGTAAGGCAATATGATTGTTTTCTGGAAACAACTCTTGAGTTGTCTTGTTCACAGGGACCACACAGTTTTACCATTTTATAAATGGAGGGTTAAACCAAAGATACTAATTATTCGCATGATGTGAAGTGTAGGATTTTTTTTTAAGCTTAAAAAACTAAACAAAAATACTAAATTGTTCCAGACTATTGTAAAATAAATCTCACTAACTACTGACTAATAAACAAGTTGTCTATTTGTGTATAAATCCCAGTATTTTTCAGCGCATACACTACATGCTTGCCTGACGTTTTTTCTGCATTTCTGTGTATCCTCTTTAATTTTTACAGAGGTTGTTTAGTTTAATTTACATCCTAGTAATGGAAAGGTATCTTCTGCTTTTGTTCATCTCCCTCAGTTTATATTTACATGTTTGTTTTTTTACAAGAACATTTTAAATGTTTGCTAAATAATGTACCTACAAACCCGACCAGCATCAATTGCATTTTATTTTTGCCGAGGCATTAATATATAATAAGTCTTTGGGTTGTTTTGAGAGGCTTGGCAATGTCAGTGTCCTCAAGTAGCTTGTCGTGCTGCCCTGACGGGTCATGTGAGGACAGCCGGGTCGGGAAACCAATGAGTTAACCGTCCTGCTTTAAATTGCGTATTATAATTTTTTCTGGAAAGCGCAAAGCTCCATTCACCTCATAAATAGTATATACTAGGCGTACAATTGTACAATTTTGCCATGTTTCCGAAATTAAACTGCGATAGTCGCCGAGGAATGACGTCAGGACGTATCACATTGAATGATGACGCCGTTTGATCATTAAAAAAATCTGCCGTTAAAAAATATCTGAGAATTAGGTCACCAAACTAACACAGTACCCACGGCCAAGCTCAGAGTGTGTCCCCGCCGTGTTTATGATGATATAACTTTCACCGAGGCGCGACCCGGGCACAAGATAGACAGCCGAGGAGAGAGATGTCCGGTGTTTCCAGCATCTGCAGCCGTTAGACCGGTCCGCCTGTCTGCCTCCCACCGCTGGGGTTCGGAGACCCGCAAGCCCAACAGCGTTAACGCTAGCTCCTGTAGTCCCGGCCAGGCTGGGGCTGAATGGTTAGCCGGGGGAAGGAGACACACCACCGGACAGAAGGTACCCGCGGAGACCCAGGAAATCACTCCTCGCCTCGGCAGACTGGTATCAACACAGCGCACATTTCAGTAGTTGCAGTAAGTTTACCGCGAGACGTGATCAATAATAATGACTGCCCGAGCTAACACCGGCTAGTTGGCCCACCTCGTATGGACGCTAGATGATGTAGAGCTAAATTACATGTCCTTTAATGTTAATGTATAACAACACTTTAATAATTACACATTAGCAAGCTCACACCTCCAAAGTGTTATTACTGTGCTAACTGTTAATGCAAATGATGGCAGTGCAGCGTGGCGCATTGTATTAGCGTTATTGTTAACACTGCATTCTATTCAACAGACCACCAGAAATAAATCATCATCTCCCAGGCATTTTGCTGCTGTGGGGTCTTAGAAGTTGACATTGCAATTACACCTTTGCAACACCTTTATCACATCGCCAAGACAAAAGAAAACCGAAATCAATTATTTACAGTAACTTGGCAATGTTTGGCAAATGTGTAGTTAAGAAAATGTAAATCACATCCTTGTATTGCTTATTTGTTTCTGGTGATATAATTCGGGCCCTGGTACTGTTGCATGACCAATAAGCTGACTTGATGTGGGTTTACCCTGTGATACACTATAACACAGTTTATAATTATATTGTATTAGTGTATAATATCATTTGGTGGAAAAAGGCATAAATGAATGAAGGTTTTGGTGACAATCCACTACTGTCTTGGAATGTGGAAGCATTTTGTATTGGGATATTACAAACTGACTAGTTCAAAACTAGCCAATCATGAAAGAGTTGCAAATGAATGCCTTCCTGAAGATGAAGTCTTAATATATCAGGGTTATAATTAGGGTTGTAACCTTGTAACTAACTCCCGATATATCTAATGGTTATTTTGTGAACAAATTGTTTGAAAAAAAGAATGGCCATTATATTGACATAAAGAATGAGAACTTCAAATTGCTTAATTTGCACTAAATCCTTAAGGTATTCAGTTTATATTGATAGGAAACAGAAAAAACGACTCCCTCCTCACAGTTTTGAATCTGCTTTGCTTTAAATAACTTAGAATTTGAAGGAGACCAACAGGCAAAAGTCAAATTCAACTTTTTTGTCAATCTTTCAGTTTGTGTGTACAGACAAAGAGATCGAAATACCGTTTCCCACAATCCAGAGGAAAACAAAATACAATATAATTATGTAATATACATATACAAATATGTATAAAATAAATACAAAATATGTATTTGAAATTTTAAATGTACTTTTTATAACATTTACTCTTTTTGTGAGAAATCTCTCGATGACATTTGCTATTTCTTGTGTTTGTTCCTCCAGAAATACATAATTGAAAGACTCTAGCATGTGAAACCAGCCCCCCAAGACATGTAAGCCTCAACCCTTCTGTCCAAGATCTTGGTGACCCTGAGTAGAAGTTAACAGAGTTTGGTCTGACGATGTCGAGCCGCCGGAAATCGACCACACCTTGCATGGTGCTGCCTTCTGATGTGGTGGAGCAGGAAGAGGTGGAGAAGATAACCGAAAGGGCAACGGAGGAAGATACAGAGGAGGAAGAGACAGAGGAGGAGGAGAAGGGGAAAGAGGGAGCAGAGGAGGGTCCGACAGCAGAAGAGCTGAGTCAGGCAGTAGTGGTTGTTCCCACTCCTCCCACTACAGGTAAGAATCCCATTTCCCATGTGTAGAAAACAGTATTCCTCATTCACCAATATCTTTCAACATGTTTCTTAAATCATAAAGAAACCTACAGCAGATTCATGATGTGGATTATTATTTTTTTTAAATAAAAATAATATCAAAATGAATATAATTTAATATCATCATGTGATCTAAAACCTCTATTGTTCATCTGAAAAAAACAAACAAACAATAACCAATATTTTGCGCAAACATTTCAGCACTTAAATGTGCATTCATTTCCTCAAAAACAAATACATGTACAAATAATAATAATGGGTAACTGCTTATGTGGGTTTTAATAATAAAAATCTTCTTTGAGGTCTCCTATCATGCAAAATGCACTTTTTTATGTCTTTTATACATAAATATGTGTCCCAGGTGTGTCAGTAGACTCACAAAGTGTTCAAAAAACGGAGCTGATCCAGATTCGCTACCAATATGACGTAATATCGGAAATGTGGGCTGGCTTTACACCCACGGCCCTATCAGAAATGTTCCTATACATTAGCAAGCATCGCTAACACTCAGTCAGAGCTAACCTGTACTAGAGAGAGTATGTGCAAAGACGCAGGTTATAAAAAGGTACTCACCTTGTGATAAACCTGTGAGAGAAGAAGCATTTGAGCTCCATACTGTTTCAGAAATAATCCTTGACGTGGTTTGGAAAATTATATGGCGTTTAATCACGGCAGCTTTTAGCTAAGTATCTGGGAAAAATTCTCCTGCATGAGCTCTCGTTTTTATTTTATTTACATTTTTTATAAAAGCTAAAGACCCAGAATCAGCACTTCTCTAACAGGGCTGAAATAGAGGGGTATGATGCATGGCTAGAAAGGATGATCTGTTTGGTATTTTGAGCAAAACACTTCATAAGCTGCTTTCACACCAAGTACTTTACCATACTTAGTTCCCCAATGGAACTAAAGAGCAAATCGCGTTCACACCGGAATAAGTTCCCTGAGGGAAGATTACGCAAATGAAGCCGCTGACGTCACTTCTTCTTCTGCTTTGGGTTTACTGGCAGGCCGCAAACAACTTCACGGCGTATACTGCCACCCGAAGTCCCCGGCCGGAAGTCCCCGGAGTTGGAGACTGGCTTCAGTAGAAGCTGCTGGCCATTTCCACCGCTCCCATGTTTTCTTTTGTGTTGCCGTAAGTTAGTCTCTCTCCGTTGGTGCGCTGGGCTAATGCTAATGCTAATAATGCTAATGCCAGCAAATACAATGGCGGCTTCACAAAACCTTTCAGAGTTTTAAGGGCCGTGGTTTGCAATTCGCCCAGCCAATCAGAAATTGGAACTTTTTTCTCCCTAGGAAAGTACCTGCTCTCTAGCAGGGACTGAAAAGGGGGGAAAAGTTCTCATGAACTAAGTTATCTTTTTGGTGTGAACGCAAAATCCCAGGAACTATCGGAACTAAAAGGGAAAAGTACTCCGGTGTGAAAGCGCCTATTGACATGTTTTTTACCTATAATTTATGCCTAAAAATAGTATAATAGGTGACCTTTAAACAAGGCCTAATGACACTCTTGGCCTGAAATATACACAAACTTCGTCCATAAATGTTGTATTAATATTATTATTATTATAGAGGAGCCCAGTGTCTCTACTGTAGAAGACAGTGAAGCCCTCGCTCCCTCACTGAAGCGCAGCGCTACAGATCCTCCTGAGGATCCCAGCAGCGAGCAGCAGGCACAGGAACAACAGTGCGAGACACCCGAGGAGGGAGGGGCAGACCCCGCCACGGTCGCCGCCATTTCCCTCAGCAAGACCCCCATCATGAGGATGAAAAGCAAATCTGAACCCAAGAGGATCTCTGTGTCCCTGAAATGTACAGAAGAGGCGTTGGAGGGTTTCAGGGGGGGCGAGGGGGATGTGAGGGGAGGAGACCAGGAGCCCATTGAAGCCCCCCTGGGCCCGATGACGCCTGTGGAGATGCTGCTGCACGACTCCATGAAGCTCGGGGGGGGCGGCTTGCTGGTCAGCCCGTACTCTGAGCAGCAGAGGAAATCAGCGGCTTTCAACCCTGCAGCCCTGCCTGCAGGCCTGGCACAGGTGATTCATGATTGTACAATGGTATACAAATTCATAGCAGCAGCATGGATGTAAGATTTACCCCTTAGTGTGTAAGCTTGCACACCGTAAAACTTTGGATTAGTCTGTATTAGGACAGCACGATTAGGCAAACAAATCTAGTTGCGCTTATATTGACTGGTATTGTAATTGTGGTAGGTCTGCAATATAAGAGAGAGTGATCTTTTTAAAACATTATTCACATGACATCATTACAATTTAAGAGTGAAGCCCTGCTCTGTAATGGTAAATACCCTCAACAGAGAGGTTCTACTCAAGCTACAGAGCAGCAGCCCTGCATCTGATATATTTACATTGTCTTGTTCAGAGACACTATGGAAAGACAGCATCTTTACCAAACAGAGCTGGAGCAGTGTATCATTGCAGACCTCTCTTATACCCCGTCCCTTTCTTTCCCTTTATTGCAGGTGCTTTCTGCCTTCCAGGCCCAACAGAGTGCAGCAGCAGCAGCTCAGCCTCAGCTGCTCATCCCACTCAGCAGCATCCCCTCCTACAGTGCAGCTATGGACACCAACCCCCTGCTGGGCAGCACGTACAAGAGGTTTCCGTACCCCTCCATGTCCGAGATCAGCCGCCTGGCAGCGCAGACACAGTTCACTGAGGAGCAGATCAAGGTAGGTGAAAGTTAGCTATTGTTTTGGTGTTGTTTTTACCTGCTTTTCCTGTTATTATTTGGTATTGCAAGTCTGTTAAAAGTCTTATATTCAATTGTCTAAAACTGTCAAGTTTAACAAGGTCTTAAATACAATTTTGAATGTCTTTAACATGTTCTACTGTAGTGTTAACTGCAGATAATCAGCTATTAGAGTTATAATGATGTTCTCGAAAGCAAAAGCCAAGGTCTTGAACCTTCCTCCTGTCACCACCTTGCAGGGGACGGAGGTTGAATCTGTGTTGCAGTATAAGTATCTTGGAATTATAATTGACAATTCGCTCTCTTTTAAACCACACATTGTGGAACTCTTGAAAAAATTAAGAATAAAATTAGGTTTTTTCTTTAGAAACAAGTCTTGTTTTTCCTATGAGGCCAAAAAGAGACTAGTGTCTGCAACCTTTCTGTCTGTGCTGGATTATGGAGATGTGGTTTATATGAATGCATCTTCTCAGTGCCTTCACTCGCTGGACACCGTCTACCACGGTGCACTGAGATTCATCACAAACCTCAGATCCTTGACGCACCACTGCAATCTATACACTCGTGTTGGATGGTCTTCCCTGACCACGCGTAGATTGAAACATTGGCACATCCTTATATATAAGGCTATTCTTGGTGCTCTTCCCCCTTATCTAAGTATGTACATAAATAAAAAATGCACTGGATCCTATCGGCTTCGCTCAGAGAACTTTTTCCTTTTAACTGTACCAAAGGTCCGTACTGAACTTGGGAAAAGGGCGTTCAGTTACACTGCCCCTCAAGCTTGGAACCTGCTTCAAACTGAGCTGAAACTCAGAGAGCTGGTCTCATTAGAAACACTCAAAGCAACTTTAACTGACCTCGAAGCAGGCCGCTGTGTCTGTAAATGCTTTGGCTAAACTTGGTGTATGACTGCGTTGTGATTGTGTGTTTTTTAATTGTTTGTAACTGTAAAACTGTCTGAAACTGTGCTGTTACCATTCTTGGGCCAGGACTCTCTTGAAAAAGAGATTTTTAATCTCAATGAGACCTATCCTGGTTAAATAAAGGTAAAATAAAATAAATAAAATAAAATAATTGCATATAAAATGTGAAAACTAGCTCCTTGATTTTAATTAATAGTCTGATGGAATGTTAAGTTAAAAGTATGCTAAATATAGCCTTTGCTTGTTTTGTATATGGTGGAGTTAATAAATATTCTTTTATATCACCCAGGTTTGGTTCTCAGCCCAGCGGCTGAAGCATGGTGTGAGCTGGACCCCAGAGGAAGTGGAGGAGGCCAGGAGGAAGCAGTTTAATGGCACGGTGCACACGGTGCCGCAGACCATCACTGTGATACCTGCTCACCAGCTCTCAGCAGCTGCCAACGGCCTGCAGTCCATCTTACAGACCTGCCAGATAGTGGGCCAGCATGGCCTGGTGTTCACACAGGTAGGTAAGGAAAGAAAAGACGCCATATCTAACAGGACGTGGCTCGAGATTTTATTCCCATTACATTAATGTATTAGTTAAATGGCAGAATTATATGGGCTTGAGTTTAATAGACATTCACAGATCAGTAATTCTTATTGTAGTGTTTAGCTGACTATTTAACTAAGTAAAAAAATAGTTTTCCTCGCCCCGGATATGATTTTTGGTGGCAGCAATGCATTGTGGGACAACGTGTAGCAACCCTAATATAACCACAATAGCTAACAGTTGACATTTTAGTTAAAAAATACGAATATTTTAACACTATTTCTCAGACCCAACCAAGTGACCGATGCCGGGTTAAGACGCAACTTTGATTCTACACTCAATTCACTATTATGTACGTCATAAAACGGTTAAAAAGTAAATGAAAACTTGTTGTTACCAGGTCATAACATATTTGAGATTCACTGGTAAGAAATAGCTCCTGCTTTTTGACAAGTCTCTCTAATTTACAATCAATGATATTGCAGTAGCTAATCGAAACAATACTCTGTATATACTTAGCTGATATCTTAAAAAGGATACTTGAGAAGAGAGGGCATGTTTTTGCAGTGACACAAGATCATTTCAGGGCTGTTATTTAAGTGTTAGTGTCATTATCATGTGACTCTGTGTAGGTGGGCCCAGGGGGGCACCTTCCAGTGACCAGTCCCATAACTCTGACGGTGGCAGGGCTGCCCAGTCAGTCCCAGAGCTCCAGCAGGGTTTCCTGCCAGCCCACCCTGACAAACAGTGAGCTGAAACGGGCTACCACTGTCCAGCCTCCCTCTCTCTCTCCGCAGGTGGGGACAGCTGTTGTCTTGTTTGCGAAGTTTATATTTTATGACCTGAGTTAATGGAAGATATTTACAACAAGGGGTCTTAATCAGTTGTATGTAATGATTGTCTGAACTTTAAAAAAGGTGCACAGAGCAATAGCAGTCTACTAGGTATTTGCTACCTCTGTGTGGCACTGTAGCAACCCTTGTCTAAAATTATAAATCTCCCCTTCCCTTTCTAAGGAGAACTCGGCCCTCAGTGCAGACACATTCAATTTGCGTCCCAAGAAGTCCAAAGAGCAGCTGGCCGAGCTGAAAGCCAGCTACCTGAAGAACCACTTCGTCACAGATGCGGAAATCACCCGACTGATGAAGCTTACCAATCTCACAAAGGGAGAGATCAAGAAGTGGTTCAGCGACACCAGGTACAACCAGCGCAACTCCAAGAACAGCAATGTCATTGTTTTCCATGATGGAGGCAGAGGGAGCGGCAGCTGTAGCAGTGCCAGCACCACCATCGTTATCGACTCAAGCGACGAGACCACCCCCACATCCCCCCACCCTCCGAGAACTCCGCCTGTGAAGGAGAAGGAGACACGGCCAAAAACTTGGAACCCATTCCCGGATTTTACCCTACAGAAATTTAAGGAGAAAACTCCTGAGCAGTTGGTGGTGCTGGAGGAAAGTTTTGAGAAAAGCAGCGCCCCATCAGATGATGAACAGAGTCGCCTGAGGACAGAGACTAAACTGACCCGGAGGGAGATTGATGCCTGGTTCACAGAGAGAAGAAAAATACCATCTGTTAGCACTTCCTCCCCGTCTTCTTCAGAGGGAGGAAAGATGGAGGCTGGAGAAGGAGGAGCAGGAGCCAGTTCTTCTTCTCCTTCTGCCTCCTCGTCCCGTAGAGGTAGTCAAACTCCTCCCGGCGGCCGCAGTAAGCAGCTGCCCACCAGCAGCAACAGAGACATGAAAGATAAGAATAAAAAGACTCCAGAGCAGCTCCACATTCTGAAAAGTGCCTTTGTTCGGACCCAGTGGCCCAGCCCAGAGGAGTACGAGCAGCTGGCAGAGGAGAGCGGCCTCCCTCGCTCCTACATCGTCAGCTGGTTCGGAGACTCTCGATACTCGTGGAAGAACAGCAACCTGAAATGGTTCTTCCAGTACCAAAGTGGCAACATTGAAGGACCGAACGGTGGAGGAAGCAATAAAATGGGATGCGGCAGCAGCACCGGTCGGAAGAGACGCGGCAGAAACCGTGGTTGGGGGCGGTCCAGAACCAGGAAGCAGCCGAGAAGGTCCGCCTCCTCCAGTACAGATGTCGACAGATGTCTCCCCACCAAGAAGGTCAAGAGTGGGCGGGAGATTCTGAAGGAGTACTACATGAGGCACCGCTTCCTCAATGAGCAAGATCTGGATGAGCTCGTCGGCAAAACCAACATGAGCTACGAACAGGTGTGTGTGTCTCAGTGTCCGTGTGTTTTTCCTGATGGGAGATTTAAATATATTTAATTAACCATTTAAATATATTTACTGTAACTGTTAATTGTGTGCATAAGCCGTCAAAAGGTAAGCCTAATGCTGCGTTCACACCGGACGCGATGCGAATATTCGCATCGCTCCAATCGCTAAAGGTTCACCGAGGCTTGCAGTTTGTTTTATCGCGTCATTCAAAACAGACATGCCGTTGCCGCGCCATTGACGGACAGTTGAGGTTGTTTACACTTCCATGCAAGATCGTTTTGGTTATTTCTGTCCTTGACTATGGAGGATATAACAACTATTGCTGCTTTGTACCTTCTGTGGAAGTCCTACTGTACAAACGTAGCAACAAACGCCGTCATGTCTGGGTTCTTATTCTCCTCCAAGCCAGCTCCTTTTTGTTGCAGTCCCGGTAGATATACGACATTGTATCGTATATCTCCGGGAACCCACTCACAGCCACAACGATCATCTCTTCCATCTTTACAACTGATCAACAGCAGGATGTCAGAGGGACGTCAGAGGGAATCCCAACGTTGATTGGCTTTCGCGAGAATGTGTCATGTGAATTTGACGCTCAAGTTGAAAAAATGTAACTCGCGTTTGACGCGGCCCCCTTCAATCGTGTGATTCGTGCTCCGTCCACCGCTTCATGCGCCGTCGGAGCGAATTCACGTCTGTCCGCGTCTCTGCATTGACTTTAAATGTAATCGCGCCGCCCCCAAAAATCATCGCGTCCGGTGTGAACGCAGTATTATGCTACGTTCACACCGGACGCGATGTGAATATTCGCTTCGCTCTTATCGCATCGCTCTAAACGCTCAATTTTCACCGCGTTTTACTCGCATCATTCAAACAAGACGCGCTGGCTTGGGGGCTACAACTACAACACAATGAACATATTTTACAGTGATGTAATTGTAATACACGTTTCTAAATGATGCCGAAGTAACGACATACTGATACCGGTTAGTAAAAAACCACAAATTAATGCTTTGACAAGTCTGCAGACAAGACGGCAGGCGAAAAACCTTTTAAAATGCTTGTTTTCTGAATGGAGATCGGATTGACACGGCTAAGCTAACATTGTATATGCTCCGTCCACACTCGCAACAACGGCATACAGACATAAATAAACCAGCGACTGTACTCACCATGACACAGAAAGTCTGTGGTTTGTACTTGTTTAACTTTTGTCTAGTTTCTGAACAGATACGAGGAGCTGTGAGCTCTGAGTGCTTACTGCTAACGGCTGAAGTTTTGGTTTTGTGGTTCTATGTCAGTGGCGGCAGGCTGAGATCCTCACCGCTGATTGGCTACCGCGAGATCACGTCACGCGAATTTGACTCTCGAGTTAAAAAAATTGAACTTCAGCGGTTGTCGCGGCCCCCTCCAATCGCCTCAATCGCGCCGCGGCATTCGTATCAACCGCTTCATGCGCGCCGTTGTAGCGAATTCGTGTCTGCATCTCTGAATTGACTTTACATGTAATTGCGCCGCCCCCAAACATCGCATCGCGTCCAGTGTGAACGCGGCACATGTGTTATTTATATAAATACGTGTCCCCTCTGCGTATAGAGATTCTGGAAGTTTCAGGAAAAAAGATTCTCTCTCTTTTTGCTGGTCAGATTTTGGCCACTTTATGATGTCATAACGATTTTTTGGCTTGTGTAGCCATTAGCCAATAACCAACCAAGGTAACCCCCCCCACCTTATCACCTGAAGCTCCTCCTAGAGCACAATTGTGTTCTTTATAACCAAATGTCTCTCAGAGGGGCGTGGGGAGTGGCCCCTTATTTTCCTCTAAAGTAACAGACAGAGAATCAGCACTTTGGAACAGGGCTGAAACAGAGGGGGTTATGGGATGCTACAATGATCTGTTTGGTGTTTGGAGACAAACACTTCAGAGACATGTTTGTATATATCCGAGAACAATAATATATTGATGAAAAACAGTATAATAGGGGACCTTTAACTGCCAAATATGTTATTCTGGTGGAGAGTACTAAATGTGTATACCATTGTTAATTCCTATGTTTTCTCTAGTATTAAAATGAAAAGTAATTGTTCAATCATTGGAACCCAGCAGTTAAAAGTCTCATTGACTATATTCTCTGAAAGATCCAGATTTAAATGAAAGAAATACCCTTAAAAATGTAGCTGATGATTTACTTTTGTTTTATTAACATAATTTTAGTCTTCAGCTCCTCATCAGCTAACATTTGTACAGAGGACAAAAAAGACTTGATCTCTGTTTCCTTAAAGGTGGTAACAGTCTGCTGTCCTCACCCAGTTAATGCTTTTCTCTCTCCTTCAAAAGGTGAGGGAGTGGTTCGCCGAGGTTCAGCGGCGCTTGGAGACGGGGGAGGATCCCTTCCTGGAGGCGGCTGCAGGGAGCACCGGAGGAGACGCAGCCAGAGAGGAGGGGGGGGTGCAGGGGGATGCGTCAACAGCCGGCGAGGAGCCAGCCGGCACAGGGGGGGGAGATGAGGATCAGGACGAAGGAGATGAGGAGGATGACGGGGACGATACGGACGACAGTGAGGTCTGGGAGCCGTCCCGCAGCGTCAGGAAGTCTTTGTCAGTCTCTGAAGACTGAAACATTCCAGAATTTCCCGAGAGAAATAGCGGCTAATGCTGGAAGAACACTCAGCTAAAGTCTTTTTGCCACTGATTGGCATTTGTACTCATCTGCAGCATGAATTCACTGTATTCTCAAACTACTTCTGACATCATGTCCACATCAGACAAACAGGTGGAATATTAGCTTTAGCTCTCTCCCTGAATCTTACCTATTATAAGTGATGTGTAACATTTTAAGAATCTTGGTAAATAAGGAGTTTTAGCAAACCCTGGTGCACCAAACTCTGATGAAGCCTATAAAGCAATATTTTGTCAAAAGGAATACAATGAAGTGCAATCTTCAAGCTTAAAATGAAATCAAAAAAAGGATATCCAGACACATCTTTACATTGCAATCATGAATACTGTTGTAAATGAGGGATTTAAATGTTGCCCCTCGTTAAATGATTGACTGCTTAAATGGAGATAAATGTACTAAATTAGGCTGCTGTGGCCTAAATTCTAACTTAAATCTACTGATATATGAATGTCCCAGAATCATTTGTGTGTTTACAAAAGTGCTTTAAAGCGTATCACAGCTAGATGTCAGTGCTAAGCAATGTCCCGAATGAAACTAGCATACGTCTATTTGTGGAACCGGTTGATTTGACTTCTAACGGCACCTTTTTTCCTAGCACCTGTGTAGTCCAATGCAAGGGCCGGATATGATTCAGCAGGTTGTTGGAGCCGACATGGATTGATGATGACACTGAAAGTCAGAAACGATAAGACACAAAGTACCGTAGTGCTGAATGAATGCCAATGCCACGGTGCTTTTAAACACAGGGTGTCTACCCAAGTCTTCCCTTTATAGCAGCTTCTTTTTTCATTAGTGTTATAGATTTTGAACAGAACACATAGAAATCTGATGGAAAAAATGTATGTGTTTAGTATGTACTGTTAATAATGTCACCTTTTTATAGAACACTTCCTGTGCTATTATGACCTTTTTAAAGGGGGATTCAGACAGTATGAGGCTGTTGTCTCAGCGTTGAATGTGTGTTCTTCTGAGCAGTGAGCTACAATTTACAGTCTGAGGCACCATGTGTGAACTAAATCTGAGGCAGTCCACTGAAATGATAATAGAATTATTTCTCCGCAGTGTTTTCCCTTGACTCTAGTTGGGTTTGGGATGGGTTGAATGGATATACTACATTGTAAGATGTGGGGGATGCATTGCAGAGTTTAACCCATGCAAATGTTAAACCACAAGTTGCCACCACACAATGTTTTTAGGTCAGGGCGTTTCTGCTCGTATAAAAAACAAGGCCAGTGAATCATTTTTGGGTCTTGACCTTGACTTTTAAGAAAAACTGTTAAACAGTATTTCAAATATTGAATTGACCCTAGTCTGCATAAAAGAGACAAACGTGAAGCACCTAAACTAAACTTTCAAAGAAAAATGCACTTTGTCCACTTGTGTATATAGTGGACTGAATCCTTATTTGACACCTTATCTCTTATTAAACCATAAAATGGCTCTGAGAGACCAAATCTGTTTTGTATGACTAAAATCTAAACCAGTATTTTGCCTTCTTTTCTTAATCCTCGTCTGTTTTCAGTAGGGGTATAAATGTATCCACGTTTTAATGATATGTGTTAAATGTTTGGATGTTTATATGGCTCAAAAACTAGTTGAACAATCACCCATTGCTTTCTTTTGCTAAATTGCACAATTTGAGCCTGAATTTTTTTTTGCCTTTTTTCCTTCTGCAAATGCACACGTGTTATATGTGTCATCATGTATGTATTGTTGCTTTAAAACATGGGGATTCCCTCCCATCTCTCCCTCTGATTCTTAACCCCTCTCCTCTATTCCTCTTTTGTGAAATGAATGCTCCTGATGTGCTCTTCCCAAGACATACTTCTGTGAATTTGGTGTCCTGTTTACTCTCTCCGCGTTAAATGTCCATAAGAAAGGCAGACAGAGCCTTACGGACAACTCTTCAAAAGACTGAAACTGTTCAGAAAACAGACATTCTTGGAAAATTCACTTTTTTTTGTGGAAGGAATTGTAACGCCTGAAGAAACAGCACAGCATTGCCTTTGCGGCGGGAAAGTCAACCAAATAATGCTCCTCTTTCAAACTCTTCTCACACGCTTAACCGTATGACATGACGGGACATTAACAGTCAACCTGAGTTCTTCACAAAAGAGGAGAGACTGATTCAGCTTTGCAGATAAACCTATATGTGCCTACATGGCTCGTACGCTTGTTTGAACAGAACTTCCCCAACTCTCGACCGAAGATGAGGATTTGTGAATGCTTTGGAAATCACACACTGTTGGGTGATTCCTAAAGAATGCTTGTTCAAACTAAGCTGTGATGCATGACCGAGCTCTGCTTTCTGCTAAAAGATGCCTAAAAAACTGAAGTTCAAATTTGAAACTTCTGTTGTAAGTACTTAAACGGATACCTTGGCAATTGAATTGTTTTTTCCCCACCAGGCACTATTACACTACAATTAAATGATTAACTTTTAAAGCAGTTTTGTCTGCTAGCCGCAAGCTACTTTTTTTTAAATTGAATGGCGAGTGAAGGAGAGTTGAATCCTCAAAGCATTTTGTTGTAATGTGACAAGTGCCCTTGAACAAAAGGAAATTCAAAATATCAAGGTATAGCTTTTGTCTAATAATGCATGCAATAACCAAGACAACTGCTCATTTTGTACATACAGTGTTTTGGGTTGGTGTACTTGGCACAGTAGGCCTACAAGCCTAATCTGGGATACTTTTTTGTTTACCTTCTAAAAATACCAGTCACTTTTCATTTATGGACCTGTTTCTTGTTTTTGTTTATTTCCCAACTCATGGACCCATTTCAGTCCTTAGCTCGGAACTATGTTATCACCAAAATTGCAGTCATTGCACGGCAGCCATTTTGTGCCCTTTCTATAGAGTTCTGGTATTTCACATGCTAATTTGTACACAAGTTACAAACTGGCTGTCTTGTTTAAGTCCACAGGTTAGGCTTAATCCTGCCCCCGGTATCCAGCCCACAGTCTTTTACAGTATGCTTTGTCTTTACTATAGTCGCTCTGTTTTAAATGGTTTTATATGTTTCTATCTATGAATACCGTGTCTTTACAACTCTTTCCAGACAGCAGTGGATAGACAATAGAGTAGTGTTTTTGAAATAGTCAGTTTTAGAGTTCAGCCAGTGTTTCCCCGAGTTGCTTTGAGGTTCTTATGTTGCCAATAATATAAAGTCAAAACTCAAGAGAAAAGACATACAATTAGTTAAAGGAATAGTCTAAAAAAAAGTTTTTACATGTTAATTATGTGTCTGAATATGAGGAACTTGGAGCTGTTTTGGAAAGTTATATTACAGATCCGCAGATAAAGCTCAGTCCACACTATTACTGTTAGCATGAAACTATTGGTTGCAAAGGAATGCTTCCAACTCAAAAAATGTAAGACAGTTGAATCATTTTTTTGGGGGGGGCCAAGATATAAATGTAATAGTTTTCTAAATTCACCACAGATGTTTATTTGTAAAATACATATTTGTTGGCGTTTAACCTTTAAAAAAAATGTCCCTGCCATTAAAACACTCCTACCACACAAAAGAGGCAATAACGTCATAGAGAATGATGACAGACATTAAAAGCTTTATTAACAAATCGCAAACAGAAGTTTGTTAAATAAGAAAAATAATTTGGTATTATGGTCTTTGGTGAAAAAACTCATGTCACAGTGATGTCTTTAGGGGGATTCAGATTTTCCGATGGTATAGCAGTAAACTCGCACTTGAAATTGTAGGTTTGAAAAAGTTGATATATAGAGGGTCATACAAATACACCAATCTGTTGCTTTCAGCTTGATTTTTGTCTAGTGTTTTTTTTGGTATTTAAAAAAAAACATGTCGTCCCATGAGTCCCCCAACTTTCTGTTTTCGAGGTACTAAATCGTGGAGTGCCCCTTTAATGGTTTCCTGGCCGGCTTTTAGACAGAAGGTAATAACACAACCAGCCTGTCTGATCAATCTGTATTCAATATGAATCATGTTCTCAAATAGTTGTTCCTGGATGATGAGGTGCCAAGTCTGCTCCCTGAGTTTTGATTTTATTTCTAACATGTATTGCAGTTAACTTTTTGCACTAGAGCTAACATTGTGATCTGAGTAGTTTACCTGATGTCCTGTTGTGCATATGTCATATCTGTGTCCTTTACTCCTGCTATACTCCTCACTCGTTGTCTGTATTTAGACAGGTAGTCGCTTGAATGTTTCTTACAGCAATCAGAGATTCAAAGGTTTTTACAGCATTGACATTTACAGTGGAACTTTGACCTTCTGGTTTTTCAGATCTGATTATCTGTTGATAGCTTTTACCCAAAAAGTATTGCTTCAATTGCTTTTTATTTTTGTCTCAATAGAACTTGTTTACTTCTGGACCCGTTTTACCGAATCATGACAGAGATCTCTCAGCTTCTGTATTAGGTTACAGTCCGTAGACACAGATATAATACAATGATCAAACTGTATACTCCAAATAAATGTGTTAATGTTCCTTTAATCACCCCTTATTTAAAGATGTCACTCCTTTAACAAACATTTGGTCCCCTAGAGGTAGGTTTTAATGATTGCAGAAATGTCGCTGTTGCTGACCTAAAACAACTCTACAGTTTAAATGTGTGTTATTCTGTGTCTATGATACTGATATTTCCATCTACATTAAGTTATTCCTACCCTGCCTGAACTGTATTTCAGAACGGTGTTAAACCCTGAGAGTATCCGTCATAAACTTTGATTAAAAACTGTATCTTTGGGTGTCACCTCTGCTTTAGGAAGACAACTATTCCTTTCTGTGAACCCTGCGACCATCAGCTCGTAGCGACCAGCTGTAAAGGCAGCAGTTTGTGCTAGGTTAAGTCCCTGCTTCAATTGAGGCTTTGTCTGGATTTCCAGCTAAATGAAAAACAATATTTTCTACTTCTTTAAAGACAAACCCCAATACATTTAGATTTTAATATGCGAGCTTTGTGAGCAACATTATTTTGCTTTGAGTAAATGTGAAATAAGAACTAAATGCAGAACCAGATCAGCAAGTATTGCGAATGTCCCAATAATGTCCCTTTTTTTTAAATGTAACTGATGATTAAATGTATTCAGCAGGAAACCTAAACGAACTTACGTAGGCCCAAACAAATACATTTGTATGTATTTGTTTAGCTAAAACATCCTGTTAGAGGTAATATGAAGGAGATGCAGGGATATTTACATGTTGTAACACTCTTCCGTTGTTGGTAGAGCAGAGAGAACACAGCAGTCATGGTCACAGATATTAAAATAAGTCTGTAGGTGATTTGACTGTGGAAATAACAGCTGAGCAATGTTGCTTTTGTTTAGTATATTTTCAGTAGGGAAGGAGATTAGTACAGCTGTAGCTGGAAGAGGGCAAGCATCGTTTTAAATTGTGGAGAGAGAAAAAGCCCAACAAGGTAAGAAAGATTGGTCCAACTTACATTTGATCCTATATTTTTGCAATGTTGAAGTCATTACAAAATGTCTCCCTCTTAGATATGCAATTTAAAGGAAATGTAAGCTTTATTTCTGAATTGATATCTGTGGTCACTGTATAGATGATAAACTGAAGTGGCTATATTTTCTTCTCCACAAAAAAGATGTTGTGGAGCCTGTTGTTCTTCTCTCTGATTGGTAAGTAGCTCACTTAATGCACATTAACTTAACTAAAATGATATGTGATTACTGCTCTGATACCATAGACTAATTAAAAAAAGATAAATGTATTTATTTTGCTAAATATGTAAGGGCCAGGAATTTATTTGTATATAATAATTCTGTTTTCACCTACAGCTTCCTTCAACACAGAAAGTATACAACTAAGTGGGACCAAAACAAACCAGTCTTCATTCTATGAACACGACGATGAGAAATACACTTCTGAAAGAGCTATTGATGAGGATGTAAAGATATGTGTTAACACCTTGGACAAGATGAACAGCTGGTGGAGAATTGATATGATGGGTGTCTACAGAATTAGTAGTATCGAAATCTTCCACAAAAAGTCTTCTCATAGTGATATAAACGGTGCTGAGATCTACATCGGGTACTCTCCTGAGTGCAACAGAACTGCCGACCTCAAGTAATAGCCTAAGTTCATGTTACTTTGATTTCCTTTACTTCACATTTTCAGGCTTCAAGACGTCAAAGAAAATCTGTCTCCATCTTGTGTTCATCTCTTTTTCTCTCTTCAAGGTTTGAAACAATTGGAAACTTCCAAATAGAACATTGGAATACCTTTATAGGTAATGCAAATGTGTCTGGACGCTACATCACTGTGATCTACCCACAAAAGAAGCATTTAGTTCTGTGCAAAGTGAAAATCAATGGCACAAAAGAAGATACAAAATATATATAATCATAAAATAATTAAATAATTGGCATAAAGAATTGGGAGGGATGAAACCCTCTTTAATGGTCACACATGCAGAGCATACAGCACACACAGTGAAATTTGTTCTCTGTATTTAACCCATCCTAGTACCAGGAGTCTAGTACCAGGAGTGTAGTACTAGGAGCAGTGGGCAGCAATTGTGCAGCGCTCGGGGAGCAATGGGCGATGGGAGAGGGCCCTGGGACTCCTTTCACTGCCGCACCGCTGAAATGCATGCTTGGGCACAGTGCCAAGTGTAGTAGCAGTAACATAACATGCAAAGCTGAATGTAAAGTTGGACAAGATGGAAAATGAAACTGGAGATGGAGATACCTTACATGATATGACACACAAGAACAACTTTTTTGCGTATGTCGTTTGGAGGTTTTTCAGATTTAAAAAATCTGATGTGGACTAAAATTGTTGTCCGAGGAGGTAACACAAGTCATTTATTCCCCCACCTCAACAGAAAGAACTTATTAGAGTATGAATAATGTATGAAAATACGATGGGCTTCAACAAATGTGTAAAGTCAAGTCAGGCGTCGCTTGAAGAAGCATGTTCCAGGGACTGCCTATGATAGGAAAAACATATAAATGTAAACAAATGTCAAATCATTGAACATTTTATAAATACCGTGATGCCGTTATAATTTGGGGGAAAAAACTTGAAATTAGTTTTTTGTCACACCGCCCAACCCTAATTATTACCATAGAAGATGTCAAATCATTTGTCTATTTGTCCTATTCTTTACTGTCATTTCTGTGGGAGGTAACTAAACTTCTTCACATATTTGGTTTTTATTCACTTTGAAAATATTAAGCTTATGTGTTTGTTTTTCTAGAATCACCCTTTGTGCTGATCCAAGAGAGTAAGACTTGGGAAGAAGCTCTGTCTTACTGCAGGGCCGAGAACATGGACCTTGCTTCCATCCTTGACGCAAAAACCCAGACCATGGTTGAGTTGGAGGCCATGAACGCCACCACTGACTTTGTGTGGCTGGGACTCGGCCACATCTGCATCCTTGATTTCTGGTTCTGGGTCAATGATCACTGCTTAACATTTAAATACTGGGCCCCAGAAAGTGGGACAGACGTCTGTGACGTGAGTGCTGCCATGGGAAAAAAAAGGAAGCATTTTTTGGTACAAAAAGAAAGCTGAACAGCCGTTTAATTTCATCTGTGAAAAGTGAGAGAAATCATTGTTGTTGTCTCTTCTCTGGTCTTATTTTAATTTGGATTAGGTTTAGTAGTGGCAATATTGTGTTCCAACAGATTATCCTCCAATAGGTAGGCTATGTTACGGTTCAGGCTCAGTGCAGCAGCATCCCATATAAAAGTGATGGAACAAAGCGGAGGGTATTTGCACTGATCATTTATACTTTAAGTTGGTTTAAATGGCAACAGTTGATTTAATTTGTGTCACTATGTATTTTAGGCCAGATATGCAGTGACTTTGTGAAATTTGCCAAAGTGGTGTCAATGTATCCTTCATTTGTAATTTATGATACTTTAATATATAGTGATTAAATGATATATATATTTTAAATCCTATTATTGAAATGAAACTTGGCTTCATTTGAATGGTCTGTCCATATTTTCTTGATAAATGTTGATATTAATAAATATACAAATGTTGTCTCTTAAATTAAAAGGATTTTGTATTTTCTCATTAAATAATTCTTATGTGGCCACAAATATTTGGTATAACTTTAGTAAGATGGGCCTACAACTTTTCTATGTGCCGCCATCAGTATTTATTTTTTGATTGAATGATATTTACACTTATATTATTTCCTCTAAATGCATATGTGTGAAAAGGCCTACTTATTGGTGGGTTCCGTTTTTTGGCTGGGCATTATGACGATACACACTTGCCTTCAACAATAATTGTTTTTGGCATTTGAGTTTCAGTTTAATCAATCTTGTGTTCATGTTTGCTGCGTGTAACCATATACTGTGTAACCCATTTCCTTCGTCGCTCGGAACCTTTCTGCCCGGAACTAGTATTCATCCTCGACGTTGTATCCGTTGTGCACTTTACACTTAAGTACCCATGAGGGTGTAAACAAACCTGCATGAGTTTCAGATAGACATTTGTTTGTGTGGCGTTAAATATTAATAGTAGGGAGTTATTCGTGATTTCCCGATGGAGATATTTGGGAGCACGTTCGACGACTCTGTGTTTCTGCAGGCGAAAGACCGAGTCGCCGTGCCTCTGTCCCATTACAACGCCAAACGCTGTGAACCAGAGGCGAGTCTGTTCAATACAAACCATACACAGCAACGTTATAAACGTAACGTTACTGGATAAACAAGCAGCTGCTGTGTGTAGTATATGATGCAGGGCATTGAAGAAGCCACCCAGGTCTTGTGGCGGGAAAAGGCTATGAATGAAAGGAAGCAGCAAGCTAGCTGTGGTCAACTCTTTAGTAAACAGTATGGCCTGTCTCCACGAACATAGAGCCAGTGGTGGTGGAAAGTAACTAAGTACACGTTTACTCAAGTCATGTACTTAAGTACACATTTGAGGTACTAGTACTACTCTTCTACATGTTGGAGGCACATTTGGTATTTTTAACTCCACTACATTTATTTTTCCAGATTGATTTACTATTTACTTTAAAACATTCAGATTTTGACGAACAACACTTAGGAAACTATTTAAAAATATATGATTATTTATGATTACTTAAATGTGAAGAGTCGTTTTACTTTAGTACCATTCTTGTTGCAGTACATTTACTTGAAATTGTGTTTTTTTTAAAGTTTGGTATTAGTACTTTTACTCAAATAAATAATCTGAATACTTTTTCTACCACTGCATAAAGCTATCACAGTACATGATATACTCAAATAAGGTTACCAGACTTTAAAAACAACAGGTATGCTCCTTGTACCCTACAGGACAGCGTTAGTTATTTTGCAGAGTACACCCTTATTTCTTCGTCTTGTTTCTCTGCAGTGGTTCTGTGAGAGTTCTGCTCTCTGTACAGATGATCCTTTGGAGAAGCAGAAGGTGTATAAGTTCAGAGGAGACTTGGCTTTGAAACAAGGGAACTATCAGGTATTAAGACAGTCGATTATCTCTCATTTTAAATACTTCTCAACGACCATTGTGAATTGTTTTACTGACCAGTGAAGTTGAAAACAAGTTAAATACAAATAAGTGGATACTCTGAGTTCAATGGGTTCCTGCTGGTTCACGGGGACTGTTACAGTATGCAGCACTGTTGTCATGGGCCGGTATTTGCATGTTTTTAGAGCTGCTGCTATGTAAACAACATCCAGCATTGGTTACATTACTTATTCCTGTCATGTACACGTTGACATATTCTACCCAACAGAGCAAAAAGGAATATATTAACTATATTCAGCCGTGTGCTACTGAGCAACATTTCAAGATAACAGGAAAAAGACTAGTTAAGTAACATATAACTACATCACACCAAACCTCCTTGTGAAACCAGGTTTAGATGTTAAAATACAAAACAGCTGTAATCTGCTGTATTTAGAACAACACAGTTCTGCTATCATGATATGTAATTATACACGCACTGTGACCTTCGGGGTTGCAAAGGGATGCTACATTTAATTACATTTTACAAAGTTAGCTTTTATCCGGAAACATTTTCTCTCTCAATAAAATCTTATTACAAAAATTTTACTTTTTAATAGTAACATTATGTGTACTACACTCGGCCCGATGGCATGTCTTGGTTATAAGTTTGTCTAATGTTGTTTTAATATTTTAATTCAACTTTTTATATTTTATTTTATTTCCTATTTTATAAAACTGTAAAGTGTCTTTGAGCACCTGAAAAAGCACTTACAAATAAAATGTATTATTATTATTATTATTAATGTTTCAAAGAACATTATTTTTCAATGTAAGAATTAACGCTTTTATTTAATTAAAAAGTTTCCATCTTTTCCAATTGTACTGTATTGTTCCGACCCTAGTCCCATACCGATCATGTGATCTGTTATCCCCTTTGAGGAATGTAAATGTTGTGTTGTCGTTGTGCGGTGGGTTTAGCAAGCCTTGGATGTATACAGCAGCTGCCTGGAGCTGAACTCTGCCAACAACCTGACCATCAGGAGAGATGTGCTGGAGGGAATGGCCCGATGCTGCACCGAACTGGGACAGAGGGACCGGGCGCTGCACTTGACCGACCTGCTGGTAATTCTCCAATGAGCTTTTCCTACTCTGACTGCAAGTCCCCTATCTGTATGTTTGGTGTTTAAAAAATTAGGGCTTCACAATCAATCAAAATCGCAATATGTGGTAGTGCAATATCTGGTAGATGCAACATATATGAAAGTATCATTCTAAATGAAGTATTATGTTGCTGCAGAAAATCCGGTATCCTACAGACTAAAATTCCTTGTTTTATATCGATCCTTTAAATATTATAATATATATTGCTATTGCAATATTATGTAAAATATTCGCAATGAGTTATTTTTCCAAATTGTGCACAACATTTAGTAGATGACTAGTATAAAACCAACAAGGACAAAAACAATAATTCACCATTTGAGATATTTTGTCTCGTGTAGGCAGTGGCTAGTAGGTCACATGGTAGGTTGAAGTTTAAACAGTATACATATGTGTATTATATGATACAATACACTTTCAATAAAAGCAAATATTAAACTTTTATTTCTTAACTTCAAGGTAGCCATTGTTCTTTTCACCGCATGTTAGTTGTGTGCCTTCAATGGCTTAATACCTATTAAAATGATGTATGAGTAAACCTGACAATTTCCCTGGGACAGCCTTACTATTGCCCTTTTCCTCACATTTCTGCGCCATTAAAGAGGAGTGTGTCTGTGTTTTTATGTGCCCCAGATTCTGGAAAGCTCCGGTATTAAAAAGCCGTAGTCACATTTGCATTTCCATAGCTCTAATAAAATGAGATAAGAAACCAGTGTGAAAGCTTCGCATTAGAAAGTGACCAGAACTCAGTCTACATGATCTCTCTGCAGAGCAAAGACGCGTCCAACACCTGTCACCTGATCAGCATCCTGCTGCTTAAGGTAAGCATTAGCAAGAACACAAGCAAATCATTCTAATAAATTCCTCTACCTGTGTGACCTTGAATCCTCAAAGAAAGCTTTGTTTTCCTTGCATAACGGTCAAAGAAGAAAGAATGTATGAAAACACCCGTATAGAAACTCATGCTGTGTAATCCAAGTCTCATTTATCAAGTCATATGCTCACTACTTCCCAAGCACATTTACACTAAAACTGTAATATTTCAAACACTAATGCTAAAACATTCTCACGTCATTTTATATAGTTTTGCTGTCGTTAAACGCGACCCCCCTTTTACATCAACTCATCAAGAAATGTTCTCCGTTACTGAATTATTCCTTGACTGTGAAAGCATGTGAGAAAGATAACGTTTTCTTCATGATTTCAGGGTAACAGGCTTATGATTGCATGTTAATATTATCATTTTAGAGGTGTTCCTTTAATTCAAATGTAATCCTTCACTGAAGGTCAGGATCCACCAGCATTTTGGAGCCTTAGCATCGAGGATGTCCTGCCTGCAGCAGCTTTGCAGCCTGCTGCCCTTCAACCCCTGGCACTGGTTCAACCTGGGACAGATGTGTCTGGAGCTACTGGACAGCAACAGAACCTCAGGTAGGATGGGCTCCATTTCTTCTCATCTAGCACTCGTATCATATATTAAAAGTCAACAATGCAGGAGGTTTTTTGTTGTTTATTGATATGTTGAACTAACGCCTTTGCAATCGCTTAATTTGAGCAAAAAACAAATGCATAAATGAAAAATAGAACAAATTGACATTGGTTTTATTTGATTGTTGTATTTTCCTTTATTAGGATCTTGTTCTTCACAGAGTTGTGAACCAGCAGAGAACACGCAGAATGATGGAGACATTCAGGAGCAGGAGGAGGAGGAGGAGGAGGAGGCAGCAGAGCTCCATGGAGACAGAGTCTGGCTGAAAGCTTGCACCTGTTTCATCAGGACAAGGTAAAGTAAATACGCTTTAATACACAGCACAAATTAGACAACTTACTAATAGAAGTCGGTAGAACTACAATTAAATATATTGGAGTTGTTGAAATCCACTGAAAATATTGGATATTTTATGAACTTCTTTAAAGAAATAAGTTTGCACCCCTGATCATTTTGATCAACACTTCAGCAAGACATATACGTTTTTAAAATCAGTTGTCCCGCACATCTGCAGCTCATCCAGATAATCATATATACAGATTTTGATCCTGAGACTTTTACCTCCCCCCATCAAGATCAGAGCGGTATTTTTTGCCCACATCAAGCTGCACAATAATCTGTGAATACTCTGATGAAACTCACAGTTGAAATGTAAATCGTGGTGTCTGAATATCTCCCTCAGACTCCTGCTGAGATTCCTCCGGCAGCAGCAGTCCTCCTTTGTGTTGCAGCGCACTGAAAGCACCCTACAGACGACAGATGAGGTGCTGCAGAGGCTCAATCCCAAAGAAACAACCCTGCAGACTCTCACTGAGGTGAACATGTGCTCCTGTTTTCGGCTTGAATATGGACAGTTTCCACTACGGGTGGGGGAAATAATCGATACAGCATAGTATCGCGACACTTTGCGTGGTGATATTGTATTGATACACGGATGCCAAGTATCGATATTTTATCATATCAACTTTTTTATTATTATTATTTATTTATTTTATATAAACTGTAGCATATCGCTCCGAAAGATGGTCATATATAAAACAGGAAGTTACGTTAAGACATGTATACAATTGCAATGAAAGTAACAAAAGCCTTTTCAGGTTCAAATAACACAAATTGGGTTATTTACATAAACTATTCATATTGCAAATACATTTTTTAACCAGGAAGGGAAGACGGACATGGATATAACCCATGTGATTTGCAATATCGCAATATATCATATCGCAATACTTAGCATATCGTAGAATCGCAATACTATCGTATCGTGGCTTAAGTATCGCGATAGTATCGTATCGTGGGGAGCCTGGTGATTCCCACCCCTAGTTTCCACTAGAAACACACATTCACCTTCTCACTGTGATCTCCCAGGTGGTGTCAGAGGACCTGATCCCAGACAAAATGAGAGAGGACAGTCAGGACGGGGAGAGTCTGTCCAGTGTGTGTTTGCAGAGCTTCAAGGAGCGCTGGTGGAACAGGATCGTACTGACTGGTGTGCTCGAAACAGACGGCCGTCCTAAGACACAGACGTCCACAGAGAACTGAGGCCTGTTCGCTGACAGGAAGACCCTGTCCCTGTGCAGATCCCACCAAAGAGCAGGAGAAATTGAGTGGGAAATCCACATTATTGATATCATAACAAGACCCCATACATTCACACAGTACATTTTAATGCTGACAATCTCAGAAATATCTCAACTGTTTTGACTCACACACTTCCACAGAATTGTATTCATTTTATTCAAGCACAGATACAGTAGAGTATTTAATAAAGCAGATACAAATATCCACTTCATAGTGTGTGTGTTATGATTTATGACAAGGATTATTTTCTGGACCACCATCAAAGTGATATATGATTGATACAAATTGTATTCGCGGAAATGTCATTCATGCCTTAACATTTTCAGAAAACTGACGTTAAAGTTTTAGGATTAAAAAGAAAAGAAAATGAACAAACAATAACCAAGGTAAGACCGTGCGGTCAACAGAAAAGATCAGGCTTTGTCATCCACAAACCCCGGACATATAATGTGCCATAAATACCATAAACCACCACCATGTGAAAATTAGAAGAAGTGTCAAACTGCAAATGTGTGTGCTGTTAACAATAATGATAATAAGACAATAAACACAATATAAATACGCATTTTGGCTGCTGCGCCCCTGCTTCCAGTCTTTATACTAAGCTAAATGACTTCTGGAAAAAGCTTCCTAATACACTATTTTGAATAGAATTTCAGATGAATAAAGTATTTTTGTTGACCTGTATGAGTAGACTGTGAAGTTGAATACGTGTCCATAAATTAAACACCATAAGTGAAAGTAATCCTCATATCTTTGGTACATTTGGAGGAGGGCCTGCTCGGTGTCTGTCGGTCAAGCTGTGGCTCCTTCCTAATGATGTAGTCCTGTCACTGTGAAATGTCCTCCAGCCCCCAGTTCTGTCTGTCCTGTAGGTGGTGAGGAGGGAGTTGCGGGGGGCCACAGGTCTGGGTCTTCCAGTGCTGCTCTGGGGTATCCAGTTCATTATGAGAGGGGACCTGGCTTGTTGAGAAGGGGGGGGCTGCAGATGTGTCCACGGTGAGAACAGCTGGGAGTCCATCCGAGGCTTAGGACTCAGAGCCTCTGCTGTAGGGTGGGACTCGAAGGAAACCTGATGGTGTCTCTGGGTTTGATCTTGCCTCCTGCGTTCTAGAGACGATACTTCAGTCTGCAGCCGAGATGTGTGTTCTCGTGTGTGTGTTAGAGGGAACCACGGGCCTGTCTTTGCTGGTTTTTGCTGTGATGTGGAAGGAGGCAGGACATTGGGATTATCAGATAGAAAGTCCACCTGTGGTTTAAAGTTGCAGTTCCAATGTTGTCTTTGTCTCTCCAGGCCGGCAGCCATCCCCTCCAGAGGCATGGTTTTCCCATTCCTTTGGCGAAACAGAAACCTTTCATTATGGTGCTGTTGATTTGTCCTGAGAGTTGGCCTCTCACTGGCAGTCCTAAACTCTCTGTACGCGGGAGAAGCAGTGTGTCGAGGGTTTGACCTTTCAGCATTTTGTTCAGTTGTAGTGGTGATGGTAAGGCTGGTAAGCTGTGACTGAACATATGAGACATGTGTCGGGCTGAGAGGACTTGAGTGACTCTGGATCTGATGCTTCTCAACATTTGTCTTGTGCTCTCCCACTGTATGCTTTACCATTCCCTGATGTGCGCTCTGCAGTGCTCCAAGTGGTTTTGGGTACAGTTGTGTCCGTCTTTGATGCATGTGTGTACCTTCACCTGCCCTTTGAGGCGTGGCTTTACTGCACTCCAAATCTGTGCTCTGTGGATTGCATGAAACCAGCGTTTTTACTTTGGTCTGAGGGTTTTGTGATTTCCCTTTAGGAGCACTGTGGCATGGTGCTGTGGGCGTGTTGGATTTCAGCTCAGCGTTTTGAGATGCCTGTAATGTTTGGTAAAGAGGGAGGAGGAGGGGCACGGTGATAAAGGAGATAAAGCCAGGGATGGGTTTGGAGCTGGAATGCAGCCTGAGGAACTCCTGATGGACAGGTCTGACCGCGCTGCCCCTCAAAAGAACTGCCAGAGTACGATGGACCTGCCAGGACAGCCAGGAGAAACTGAGGAGATCAAAACGGGCCCACCGACATGTTAGGGTTAGGGTTAAACCCTAAAACATTTTTTAATGTGTCAGTGGGTGACATGTTCGGGTTAGGGTTAGGGTTAAACCTGACTGGTTTTCAGACCCCCCCAATAAAGCAAAACTGCATGTTTCAGAGTGGCCTTTTATTGTGGGCAGCCTAAGGCACACCTGTGCAATAATCATGCTGTCTAATCAGCATCTTGATATGCCACACCTGTGAGGTGGGATGGATT